AGTGCAGAGGAGGCTTCCTGGTCAAAGGGCCACAGATCCCACGCACAGTAGGAGGTTTCCGGGCCAACCTACCTCCGCTCCCAGAACAGAGGAAGTAAGCCTCAAGACACCAGCAGCAGCAACACCCAACCCTGTTGAAATGAGAAGACATGTAAACAAGCCTCAGAACCAGACTTCCACAGCAACCCCAAAGGGAAACAAGATGGAACACTCTGATACTCAACCACCTAGACTCCTTGAACTAGCAACAAAAGAGGATCTGGAAAAAATGAAATAAGAAATAATTTCTCAGATAACAGCAGAGATTTTGCCCATAGTGCAAGACATGATTAACAAATCAAGAGAGGACACAGATAAAAAAATAGAGAAGCTCAGGAACATGATGGAATCCCAACATAGGAAACAAATGTAATCCATAAAACAGAAGTAAACAGATTTCCAGGAGATTAAAAACTCCACTGAAAGTCTACACAGCAGAATGAGCCAATGTGAGGACAGAATTTCAGATATAGAAGATAAGATTGCAATTAGTGACCAGGAAAAGAAAAATTGCTTTAAAATTGTAAGGGGCCACAAGAAATCAGTCCAGCACCTGCTACGTGATGCAAAGAAGAATAACATAAGACTGACGGGAGTCAATGAAAAAACAGGAGACAGTGCAAATGACATAAAAAAAACTGTTCACAGAAGTGATGGCAGAAAACTTCCCAAGCAAGGGAAAAGAACTTTACATACAGATACATGAGGCATATAGGATTCCATCTAGTGTTGATCTAAAAAAAATGTACACATAGGCATATAATTGTTAAGATTCCAGAAACTTAACAGAAGAACAAAGTTCTGCAAGCAGTTAGAGAAAAGAAACAAATCACATACAAAGGAAAGCCCATCAGAATCAAAGCAGACTACTCAATGCAAAGCCTCAAGGCAAGAAGAGCTTGCAGTGACATATTGCAAGCCCTAAAGGAAAACAGCCTCCAACCTAGATTGATGTACCCTGCAAAACTATCTTTCAAAATTGATGGAGAAATAAGATACTTCCATGACAAAGAGCACCTAAGGAACTTCATGAATACCAAACCAGCACTCCAAAAAATTTTAGACAAAATCCTAGGAAAAGACAATGAGGATCACAACCTCAGGAAGCCCAGGAGAATGAATCCACTGGCATGACAAGAAATTAAAAGTAAAGGGGGAGAATCCAACAAGGAGGAAAAGTCATGACAATTTTAAGTCAATACATATCAGTTATAACCATCAATGTTAATGGTCTCAACTCACCAATCAAAAGAAATAGACTGGAAGAATAGGTCAAGAAGTAAGATCTAACAATATGTTGCATGTAAGAAACACACTTAATTCAAAAAGAAACTCATAGACTAAAAGTTAAAGGGTGGGAAACAATATTCCATGTGACAGGAACTCGAAAAAAAGCAGGTGTAGCTATCTTCTTAGCAGATCAAGTGGATTTCAAACCCACACTGATTAAGAGAGACAAAGAAGGACACTACATCCTTGTAAAGGGAACAATCCAAGAGAAAGCGGTAACAATCATAAATATTTATGCCTCAAACACTAGTGTATACAACTATATAAAACAAATACTAATGGATGTGAAAAGTCATATATACACTAATACAATAATAGTGGGGGACCTCAATAACCCACTGTCACAAATAGATAGATCCACTAGACAAAAAAAAGTAATGAAATATTAGAACTCAATCAAACTCTTGAACAAATGAACTTAACAGATATTTACAGAGTATTCCAACCCACAAAATCAGAATATACATTCTTTTTGGCTGCATGTGAGTCATTCTACAAAATGGACAACATACTAAACTAAAATTGAAATGGATTAAAGATCTAAATATTACAATAGAAATGCTGAACCGGCTGGAACAGAGGTTAGGTAGAATTCTTGAAGACATTGATATAGGAAAAGATTTTATGAACAAAACCTCAGTTGCCCGTGAACTAGCACAAACAATCAACAAGTGAGATCTCTTCTTATTAAAAAGCTTCTGCACAGCAAGAGAAACCACCAGCAGTGTGAAGAGACAACCCACAATGTGGGAAAAAATCTTCACCTGCT